GGGGAAAAATAATATATTTCGCGACAATAATGGATACAAACAGAGACTCGGCCTACTAGTCCCAAAACGAAGACAATTTTTCGACCTTTTCCCTTGGGCTAGAGTTCTTAAATGAGGCAGAAAAAGAGAAAAACAACGGAAAAGGAGACTCGGCATCAGCGCCGTCACGATTCGCTTCAATTGATATTGTTGTCCGTTTTTCGCGTCGGATTTGATGCACAATTCCACCGGCTATGTTCTAAAACAATTGGTTCATGCTTTCAGCTGTGCACTATCGAGTTATGGAACACGTAGGAAGTTTGGAGAGCACTCAAGAAGCTAGAGTTGCCCTCGCCTATTACCTCGGGCAACTCTTACGCTTCTTTCGTGTACTCCAAACTTCGCACGTGCTCCATAACTCGATAGTGCACGTTAAATATACTGCATGCTGTTGCCATGTGCCCTGCTGACGTAGATTGGACCGAAACATGTGATTGGTGCCCAAATATCAGTTCGCCAGTCAGAACCAATCAGAAGTGCCAGACTTAGTAAAGTCATCTTGCATGGTGAATTTTTTATCTTCTCGGTATCTGTGCAAGAGAAGCTGAACAGTCGATAGGGGTGTCTGTGTTCGTATTACTGCAAAAGAAATAATCCTCTAAGGAATTTTTCCGAACACACAGGTAAACAGTTTAACTTTACGAAGAATAATGTCCGAAGACCAGCAGATTTATTTTCCGTTGACAATGCTGCGAAATAGGGCAAAAAAAACTGTGCGCAACCGACAGAAGAGGGTAATCGCAATGAAGAAATAGTAACACGGCAGATTTAAACCGAGTGGAAGTCGATGATCTATACTTCGCTATCTTAAGCTAAAGAGAATACAGCTATTACCTTAGAATATCTTGCATCATTATTTCAAACAGGCATTCTATCTGCTCTTGTTTACCCGCACGTCGATTTAAAACGGCTGCGTTGGTGCCTCGATCGATCGATTACTGTTTCATCTTTAAGGCATGCATACATCTTTGCGAAATAAACTCTAGGGTTTTCTAGTTTGATATTTATGATGCAAAGCATTATTATTATTGTTGACCACATTATTGTTGACCAATTCGTTTGAATAAGTGGGAAAACTTGACAGGACAACACAGTATAAGCTCAATGGAAGGCTGTTCTCAGAAATCCACTCAAGTGTGTCGCCATTTCTAGGAATTTAGGTACTATTTTAAGTGTCGTTTAACCGAGCCAAATTGACCAAGCTTTCAATCTGCTATTTTAATTCCGTAAGCTTGTCTGCTCAGAGGTAAGAGTTATATTACGCTTAAATACTAGGCCAAGCAAAAGGGAACCTTTTCCTTTTAATTTATGTACCATTCACATTTTACAGTTGATCATGGAATACTAATTTGATTAACTTCAGAAGGGAACGTCCTATTTCATTCACCTCAGTATACTATCTTAAATGTTTTGTCCTAGTCAACCTCGATGACAAGACAAATTTCTTTCAGCTAAGCTATCGGAGAAACTCTTTCCTCGACCAAGGAATCTTGGATCGTTGTATGTTTTTGAAAGGAAAACAGTACATCCATGCTTCGATCGAATAACTCTTGCTCAATACGTCTACCACAAACACAGCTTATCAAGATAAGCACGCTCATGATAAAGTTAGTTTGGCAATTATGATCAGAAAAGCGTTAGACGCTTCCACACGAGTATCATTCGATTATCACCCCCTTCAGCTGGTTATAAACTTGAAAATTATATAATTGGGCCGCTAACGAGGTAAAGAAGAGCATAAAATAGCCGGAAGTGCTTTGGGAAAGTGTTCTCGGAAGTACACCCAACCGTATTGTCATTTCTGAGAAATCCCGTATTCTCTTGTCCTCTAACGAACCAAACTGAAGGCTTTAACTTTACTTTTTAGTTCATTTGGTCAGTTTGTTCCAAGCTGAGAGTTGTGTTAAGCTTAAGTAGTGTAGTCGATCATGGATTTTGATTTGAATACATCCACTGGAAGTTATCTTAATTAAAATGTCAATAATTAACCTCGAGTGTATGATTACATTTAAGATATCGGAAGAATGATTCCCTCGATCATTGACTTACATAAAGTTCTTGGAGCGTCTTAGCTCTTCGTCAAGTTGATGAGCGCCTAGTGCTCTATACGGTACTCAATTTCTTTCGTAGCAAAGCGTCGCTAAGTTTAAAGAGGCAACGCGTAGCTCCTTCTTCGCTGACGTAATAGCAATCTTTTGCAAGCAAGTGTTGCATTACCTTTTGGCTTATTTGTCTCGTAGGGCTTTATTAAGAAAAACACAGCAGACTCCCTTTTTTTCGGATGTTTGTTTGAATAATCGGTCACTTAACTCCCTCTCCTTACCGAAACAATCCCTTTTATTTTTTGAACAGAGAACTAAACGAAAGCTGGTAGATTGGTGCTTGTAAAGATGTTCCCAGCAAGACAGCAGCAAAAGGCAAGCGCAATGGGCCCTGGTGCCCCTCTCCGTCTTGCAGAAGCTTTATTATACACGTCAGATGAGCTTGAAAATGGTTCCCCGTCAGTCTACAAGCTTCATATGAGGGAAGAAATGAGACCAAAAGACATGATTGCAAGACAGAGTATCGGAAAACCGTGCCGTATCGGTCGTGGAGAAGCAGAAAAGGTGTTCATGGTGGTGGGAGCAACAGGTGCTGGAAAATCGACCTTGATTAATGGAATGGCCAACTACCTTCTTGGTGTAGAATGGAAAGATGAATTCCGTTTCAAGCTCATAACGGATGAGTCCAAAGTGTCACAAGCACACAGCCAAACGCAAGGCATAACTGCTTATACGTTCCACCCCATGAGAGGTTCACTTGTGCCATATGCTTTCACTATAATCGACACTCCTGGCTTTGGTGGTACTGAAGGATTAAAGAGAGACAAGAAAATCACCGAGCAAATAAAGGAATTCTTTTCTATTCCTCCACCTGATGGTATTGACCACCTTGATGGCATTGGATTTGTTGTCCAGTCCTCCCAGGCACGTCTGACTCAAACACAGAAGTACATCTTTGATTCCATTCTGTCGATATTTGGAAATGACGTTTCGAGGAACATATTCATGATGATAACTTTTTCAGATGGCCAACGTCCGCCTGTCTTAGAGGCAGTTAAGGAAGCTAACATTCCAAACTACAGCGAGAAATTTTTCAAGTTCAACAACTCAGCTCTCTTTGCTGAAAACAACGAATCAGGCGAAGTGGGCTTCGACGAATTGTTTTGGAAAATGGGTTCCGTCTCATTCCAAAAATTCTTCCTAGAATTTCCCAAAGCAGAGAGCGTTAGCCTTCGTCTAACCAAAGAAGTTCTAAAAGAGCGAGAAGAGCCTCATGTGTTGGTGGAGGGCCTGAACATCCAAATTACTGTGGGTCTTAACAAACTTGAAGAGATACGTCAGGAAGAAATTGTGATCCAACAACGTGAAAAGGAGATTGAAACAAACAAGGATTTCACGTACAGTGTTGATTTAGTCAAGCCATTTCACATTTCCTTAGAGGGCACGGGACGACACACCACCACTTGTGGTCCCTGCCACAAAACATGCCACAGCAATTGCAGGATTATCGATGACGCGAACAAGTTTTACTGTTGGGCTATGAACGAAGAGGGTAGATGCAGAATATGTCCACGAAATTGCCTTTGGTCAGAACACAAGAATCTTCCCTATCTGATCGAATATCGCACAGTCACTGAGACTAGAACAGCAGAAGACCTGAAGAAGAAGTACCATAAGGCTGTCAAGGAGAAAGCCACATCTGAACAAAAGATGAGAGCAATAGAGGAATCACTCCAGAAAGTGCATGTTGAGGTGCTTACCATGATCAAGAGGGCTCAACAAAGTCTTCGTCGCTTGGATGAAATTGCACTCAAACCAAACCCGTTGACTCAAGTAGAGTACCTGGAGCTGCTTATTGAATCCGAGAAAATGGACGCCAAACCTGGATGGAAACAACGCGTCAAATACCTTGAGGTGACCAAACGTCATGCTGAAATGCTATCCAAAGTAAAAGATGAGCGAGAGACCCAGAAGCTTATAAAGCAGTTGTCCAGAGATGTGGATGTCAGTGAGGAACAAACAAGGGACTTCTTGAAGAACCTGTCGCTTGGCCAGGACAAATGGTGCTCCCGCTTTAAGTTCTGGTGATCACTGTAAGACTCTAAGATTCCAGTCACAGCGTCGGAACACCGAAATGGAGTTCTTCAACACGTTGAGTCAAGATACAGGATGGAACTTCAGAACTTTTACTCAAAATACTAGATGGAACTTTCAAACTTTTTGACACGTAATTAGCAATTGTCTAAATCTTTGTGGCATAGCATAAATTGAAGGATGCATTTCCACAAATTAAGTTTTCTTAGTTTCCCAGATGCGTCTTAGCTATCTTCTAAAGCCATGTTATACCGTTTTATCGTGAAATATCATACGGAAAGTTCAACAAACGTGGAAAACTTTGTTTTATTGAGCTTCAATAGAAGTAGTTGGGAGGAGAGATCAGCTTATGGATGTCTGAAGTAGGTTTATAGTATGTTAATTACTAGTTATAAGTAAGAAATTGAATTAACTCCATTTCTAAGTCAACATCATGGTAGAAGTATCCGAAGGAAATAGTTCGTCTTCTGATAGGCGCGCATATAGAATAAGAAGAAATATTTTAAACGACTTTTCTCGGCCGAAATTCGTAAGATAAGCTTTAAATAGCAAGGTGTTCGTTACCTTCAAACGACATTATCTGTTTTAAAAAAAGACGTTTAGAGAGTACGTGTTTGAGTCCTAGTGTAAGGAGAATCAACCAGTAAGATTTTCTTTGAAGGGAAGTCTAATATTCCTCAACGTAAACAGAACTGGAAAACCTAAGCTTCTTTTGCCCAGTTGTCATTTCTCGAGGATAATTTGCGTCGTGACAGAACTAATATTTTGTAAATGACCTGAAGAGTTTAGAGGTCAATGAGAGGTCGAAAATAGAGAGCTTAAGCACCAGACGTTCTTGAGGTCACGAACGCCTACCGGAAGTCATTAGAGGAACTATGTACATACTGCGCACGTCATGACGTTCGCGTGGTCACGTTGCAGACGCCAGAACGCCACTTTTCAGGTTGAGGGTAGGACGCCACAAAAATATGCTGTAATTTTGTTTATAGGAGATAAATTATTGACTCAAAACCATAGAAAGCTCTTCTGCTTTTCATTAAGTGATTAAAAAACCTTTTCGTAGCGCGTAAAGTGGTTTTTGCTTAATCGATAGATTAAACGGGATTCGACAATGGCAGACAATTTTCTCGCCAAGTCTGGGTGAGTTAAGTCATTTGATTTCATGTCCGTTTGAATCATCACATGCAGAACTAAGACTTTTTTAAACCGGATTTAAGCTTATCACAAATTACTTTGAGCGATGATTTAGAATTAAGACACTTAAGCGACATTATAGTTGTTATGATTAAATTGCATTAATGATGAATTATTTTATTTATTTATTTATTATGGAATTTACAATTGTAATTTTGAACTTCTATTTTATTTTTGATTTAATATTTATTGTAAGGGGCAGTTGAATATTTTTTATAGAAACTGCGCGGTATAAATTTAAATTAAATAATAATAGTAAAAAAGCTAAGGGGAAACTAAGCTGTATACTCTGAGTCCCTGATGAGGATTTGTGGGGCATNTGTGCTTCTATGAACGTGAAATCGGTCGTTTTAATACCGAAATAAAGAAAAGAAAACGAGCCAAAACGGCTGGAACACTGAACACTAAGAACTGTAGTACGATCGAATCAGCGCGCGTGGCGCAAGCTGAAAGCAATCAAGACAACTTAACGATCGAGACAGTCAAAAAAATAGCTGTACATCTACAAAGGCGAACGATTCGAAAAAGACGCAATCCCTGATGTGCGTACTCAGTGCCACACATAAAGCAAATTCTCATGAAAAACTGGCATTTAATAGAAACACAACCACTACTGAGCGAACTATACAAAAATCCGCCGCTCGTATCTTACAAAAGAGGGCGGTCGCTCAAAGACATACTCGTGAGGGCTAAACTTTGAATAGGCTACTCTAAACACACGCTTGGGAGTCGTGTAGGCCTGTCAACCCCATTTTACGCCACCATCTTCCTCTTCGCTACTGGAGACAACTTCGCTTCGTTCAGAAGAAGATTCACTTGACAAAACTTCAATGTCTGCTATCTCCTTCGCCCCCGAATACAAACAAACAGTGAGTGAAATAAACCACGCTATCGGACTGAACACAACCAGTGACGTCATCAATCCATTTCGCTCGGTACCAGGGCCCGGACATGGTTTTGTGTAAAATTTTTGATTTGAGTGGTTAAAAAAGATATCTTTCGCTTCTTTTTGGCCAAAGCAAATTATCTCATAATGATCAGCATATTCAAAACTACAAGTTAGAGCAAATATTTCAGATACGAAAATTTCGTTTCAGTAGCACTTTAAGAGAGTGGGGTAAAGAAACTTATTCCCATGCTTATTAAGGTCATATCTCTAGCACCTTTTAACAAAGACATGTTAACACGGGTCGAAGTCCGTGTCTGAAAAACGTCGACTGCTTAACCTTCCTAATTCGCGCCAAGAACGAAGGCCTCGATCCAGTCTTACGCGGCTTCTCTGCCGTTCGTGTTGTGAAGAACGTCTGGTGCTTAAGCTCTCTAAAATCTAGCAAGGACGCATTTGATATGTTTATACTTTTCAGAAAATAACGTATTATGTAACTTTGTTTTCAACTTTGAAATTTATAAAAATGTTATTGACAAGGCTTGTAGTACCCTCGGTGCATCATCTTGCTTTACGGTTCGCAGCATTGCTGGTAGGCAAAACATATAAGCATTCTACATTATGATTTAGTTTTAAGTAAGCAAGTTTCATTTTAAGCAGACATCGTATTAAGCGAAATAATGAGGGACTTGTCACTGGTGTTTTCAGTTTTGAGGGAGCTAAGTTTTAAAGATTTGTTTCGAAGAGAATTAGACTTGCAAATAATTCCAGATATTCTTCGATAAGAGGCTGAGCAGCTAAAATTGGAAGTATTTCATATATCCACACTTTTCATACAAGTACCTATTACTTTACGTTTTTGTCAGCCGTGAATGATATACAAATCTGGTTGACAAAGCTCACTATATCCTTCGAACAGCATCTTGCTTAACTCTTCACAACATTGTACTTTATCATCTCATGGTTTAATTATTAGTAAGCAAGTTTCATCAAAAGCGTACTCTGCAAAATACATTACTATGGCAACTTTGAAGAGAGGTTTAGTTCCAAAGGGTTCCCTTTGAAAGAATTTTAATTAAGTATAATAATGGCACCTAATATAACTGAATTTTCCCATCCTATTTCACCGGTAGATGAAAAAAAGTTTCGCCAGCTCAACAAAGATCAAGATTTAAACCCCGGATCCAGATTAAGTCAGCGCACAATTTCTTGAATGTCCAATTTCATTTCATAAATGCTCGACATTCATAAAACATTTCATAAAAGCGCAACATTCTACTTCTTTCAAGCAGCTAACAAAATAAAGTCACCCTTAGCTTATATCTGAATTGTTTTCAACCTTCTTGTGAGGAGTTTCAAGTTTCGCTGTTTCTATTGTAGCGTAATATTTTGCCACAAATGTTTGCCTCATTCTTTTCTGCTTAGCAATGACAGGTTTAATTGTTGTGACCTTGATTAAACACTTTTTTCGACGAAGGTTCCTCCGGGGTAAAAACCGGCGAATCATTATGCACAGATGACTTACACTACACAGATGGCAGGCTTTGATTGGTTAAACTGAAGTTAAATTGCGAAGGAACCAATTAGAAGCTCTCCTAAATAATACGTCAGCTTGTCTTAAAATTAACTGCTTTCTCGCTGATGATTCCGAGAAATGGCTACGCAGTTTCGAGCATATTCGGTGAATTTCAAAACAAGTAACTCTTTGTGATCTTCAAGGAATATAAAGGTAAGCAACAATCCGTCCATTAGAAGTTAGTTCCAACGCTTTATTGACATTACTAGTGACCAATCCAGTGCATTAGCTATAAAAGAAACTTGAACCGGCTGGGAATGCATGTTGTTGTTTGACTGGGTGGTGGCATAGGACCATTCGTAGTTTTGAAATAACTTTCGTATCATTGAAGATGCAGGTAATCGCTAACAATCTGGGCAGTGTCAATCAAGAATTGCCACAAACGAAAATTGAATTTATACGGCTTTAAGAGAGAGAGCAAGAGAGCTCGAAGGCCCGGCTTCGCTTTCTACCGCTAAACTTGAAACTTTAGTGCCTGTGACATCGGTCTACGAATAATAACCATGGATGCACCTCAATACAAGCGATTTTTTTACGCCAACAAATGGCATCTCTTTATTTATTGTTTTAAACCCCCAGTCCCTACGAATAGCTGAGTAAAGTCGGGAAATCGGAATTGTGTTATGAGTTTTTCCCGGAAATTTAGCTGAACGTAACGTCATTCTAGGAATTTACTTTTGATTCACTCTCCTGTTAATTTGATTAATATATGTTATGTAAGTGCTCCCTATTTTCATTTAAGTAAAATATGAAATTGTGTTCTGATCAGAAGTGGCATACTTTAACTCACAGTAGTTGATAACGTGGTGCTGAGAAACTTACAAATCGTCTCTTAAGCGTATATAACTTTGTATTCGCTTTCTCTCAGACGGCATTCTAGAACCTATTGATTTGAAGTATTGAGTGTCAAAACAAAAAAAAGAAATGATAATTAAATTATTAAAAACCAGACGGCTCAATACTCAACCAACCTTAACATCACTAAAGTCGCCAGTGCATTACATGACTCAATGATTTTATTAAATTCTTGCAGAGGCCGAGCTTGTATTTGTTCATTAAGGTCAATTGATATAAAAATCTGATGTAGGTTGGCTGAGCCACATTTTGCTCCTTTTGAGTGAATTTTGTCTCTGCAACATAAGGTAAAATTGAGTTTTAGTCCTTTCATTATCATATGTTGTGGGTGAAAGTGCTTCAATAACAGCCCAAAAGGAACAATTTAATCTCAACTGCTTTCTCAAGTTTAAACACAATGAATAAAAAAAATCGACCTTCCAAGTGTTGCACAATAAAGCACCGCACAAATCATAAGAGCTGATAAAACGGATAAAAAATAATATATTTTTTGTATTTTTCGGTATGAATTCATTTTATAGTGAAACAACATGAGCGAGAACACTGGCGTCCTGGAGTTGCGTTGTTTCGGGCAGTCATTTCAGTTAGGAATGCTGTACGACTATCGTAGTCACCAACCTGTAACAGAGTCAACGTTGTGGGAATCTGACACCGTTGAGAATATCTCCTCCTCATGCATTTCCCCTCATTCTAAAAACGAAGTCTTCACAAGTGGCAACGTGGAAGAGATGGCAAAGGTTTTCGGTATCGATTCTAACTTTAGATTGAGTTTAATGACAGGATTGGTCAACCCATCTGGAATTGGAAAGTTCATTATCCATGGGGATCCCCCAAAGAGGGACAATCTGGTTCGCATTATTCTCAAGTATGAAACCACATCAAGATTTGAAGAACTTAGCATGGATCAAGCAAGGAAAGAGCCGTACAGAGACCTATGCTCAGAGATGACAGCTACGCATTTTGTATCACGCATAGAATATGGCAGAGAAGCAATTTTCGTTTTCGACAGAAGAGTGGACGAAGACGAAACATTTGCCGATGTCGAAGCCGACCTAAAGTTTGCTGTTGACTCATTATCCCAAGTTGCGGTGGAAAGTGATGTACATGCATCAGACCTGATAGACGAGGAAGAACTGAGTAAACTGCTTTGCACCTTTTATGGAGATATAAACCAGGCCAGTTCCACCAGTGGTATGAGTTATGAAGATGCCGTGCGGACCTACAGTGAACTCCAGAAAGACGTAGAGAGCTGCCTGAAAGAAGTTCCCAAAAAGGTTTGGCTCCAACCATTGAGCACTTTGGACTCGCAATGGGTACAGCAAGGGCGTGTAATTAGCCCTCCTGTAACTGAAGCATTGGAAAGTATCTTGGAAAATTTCAACGAGTTCGAAACGTATCTATCTGGCCTCGTCGATAATAAGACATGCTCTACCTTTCCTGTCCTCAAACAGCGGATCTCTAGATGTGGAAGAGCGGTTTCTAGGTACAAAAAGAATCTACTCAAGACATTTTCAGATCTGTTGCCAGTGGTGCGAGGTGGTGATGAAGCCGAGGAGGTCCTTACCGACGTCCTTAACATGGTCGCATCATCTCCGTTTCATCACGACGGGCTCTCGTCTTGGAAGAGTGGCATGGAAAAGGAGATGAAACTGCTATCGACATATTTAGAATTCTTTAAAGGAATCCAACTGGTATCGTCCTCCATCGATCTCGAAGGTATGGTAAATTCCTTAGAGTATGACCAAGTTGTTTGCTTTTCCGTGATGACGGCTGGGAGCCAGGATGTGCTGGTTGAACAGATGTATAACTTCCTCCGAACTGGCAGTTGGAAATCAGAGTAAATCGATGTGCAACCGTGTTATGAGAATCAGGACATCATCAAGATTGGCAAGTCTAAAGCACTAAATTTTAGGGACTTCGTGAAGGAGAATGAAAATGATGAAAGCGCCAAGTTCATTTTCACCAACGTCCAAAAAGGTACAGGGCAAGCACTTGTCGACATCCAGTTGTTTGAAGCTGGCAAGCCAACCAAGTTTGAGCCCCCTGGTAGACCAGGAAAGCCTTATGCAACAAAGACGAATTCCTCTAGCATTACTATTGGATGGAAAGAATCACCACACGGAGGAGAGTTTGTTGAAATGTACGCAGTCCACTTTAAAACAGCAACAAGTGGTCCAAGCACAGATTGGACCTCTCTTCAGACTGTAGGGTCCCAGACCGTTACTACAGTAGATGGATTAGACGCCGAAACCCCATAATTGTTCAAAGTGAACTGCGTGAGCAAAGCTGGCCGTAACGCCTGCAGCGACATCAGTGACATTGTTGTTACTGAGGATCCTGCAGCTGAGATCGAAGCCGGAAACTCTCCATATGAGTCAGACCAACACCAGCATCATCAGGACGACCCACTGTTTGGCTCGCAAAGTCAGCATGAAACCTTTGGTTTACAAAAGAAATCGACAGCAACTGCGTCTGCCGTTACTGGTGAGAAAGTAGCCAGTGAAAATAATCCATTACACATTTCGGAACGAAGAAATACCACCCCCGGAGGAGTTTCATTTTTCGTCATTTATCGTTTAGCTGAGTCTTGGATGTCTACTTCCAAGAAAATAACGAGTGGGTCACCATCAGTTTCTAAGCTTCCGAAGAGATAAACAATGAGACGGGAGAATAGCATGATTGCCAGACAAGTTATCGGTAGGCCTAAACGCGGATTGGGACCGCTTGTGGAGAAAGTTCTTATGGTGGTTGGAGCTACAGGGGCTGGTAAAACGACTCTGATCAACGGTATGGTAAACTACATATTGGGCGTAGAGTGGAAAGATGACTTCAGGTATAAGCTCATCGTAGAGGATAGCGGACTATCGCAAGCCAACAGTCAGACGAAGAACATTACAGCCTACACCTTTTATCCCATGGAAGGCTCCTCAATTCCTTACAAATTTACTATCATTGACACTCCCGGTTTTGGCGATACAGAAGGATTAAAGAGAGACAAAATCATCACCAATCAGATAAAGGAATTTTTCTCAATACCTCCACCAAATGGTATTGATCATTTGGACGGTATTGGATTTGTAACTCAAGCCTCTCTTGCTCGTCTCACTCCGCCACAGGAATACATCTTTGATTCAGTCCTCTCCATATTTGGAAATGACGTTTCCAAGAACATATTCATGATGCTCACCTTTGCAGATGGCCAACATCCTCCTGTTCTGGATGCCATTAAGAAGGCAAATATTCCGTGTGACAAGTATTTCAAATTTAACAACTCGGCGCTCTTTGCAGAAAATACAGAAACAGAGGAGGGTTTCGATGCTATGTTTTGGAAGATGGGTTTTCGTTCGTTTCAAAACTTCTTCACTCAGTTTGCAAAATCGGAAAGCGTAAGCCTTCGCCTTACCAAAGAGGTATTGAAAGAGCGAGACCAGCTACAAAACTTATTTGAACGCCTAAATCCACAAATCACCATGGGTCTCAACAAGATAGAAGAGATGCGACAAGAAGAGCTTATCCTCCAATATCACGAAAAGGAGATCGAAACAAACAAAGAGTTCGTGTACACAGTCGATGTAACTAAGCCGCATCAGGTTGACTTAAAAGGTACTGGGAGACACACCACAACCTGTCTTCGTTGCAACTACACCTGTCACAAGGACTGTGCAATCGCAGATGACCGTGAGAAAAGGGGATGTTTGGCCATGGATGGGAGTGGTAACTGTACAGTCTGTACAGTCAAGTGTAATTGGTCAGAGCACAGAAATCTTCCTTACCTGATTGAATTCGAAACGGTGACCGAGACAAGAACATCAGATGATCTAAAGAAGAAGTACGAAACCGCTGTTTCAGGAAAATCTAAGGTACAAGGTATGATTGCTCAACTAGAAGATTTCCTGCAGGATGTGCATTCACGCGTTATGACCATGATTTACCAAGCTCAGCAAAGTCTTTACCGCCTAGATGAAATTGCCCTCAAACCGAATCCACTAACTCAAGTTCAATACCTGGAGCTGCTTATTGAATCTGAGAAAAATGAAGCCAAACCTGGTTGGAGACAGCGGGTGGAATATTACGAAGAGGCCAAGCGTCAAGCTGAAATTTTGTCCAAAGTCAAAGATGTCGCTGCAGTTGAATAGGAAATCCAAAACAAGGCTCGGAAAGGCGACAGATGGTATCATAAATTTAAGTTCTGGTAAACCTATCAGCGACAAAGCGAAGGACAGTTCCTCAGTGCGTACCCAAGCAACTAGCCACAAGCGAAACCTAATTCCGTTTTTCTTCAAAGTTTTTATGTATTCAGAGACATATTGCAGAACTGTCGTTTCTGGACTTATTTTTGTTGCTATACTTAGTAAGTACGAATATTTAGTAAATACCTCAAGTTAGATCTAATTTGCATAAATCCATTATTCCTGCGAGTCTTTCGGTAAGAGCCAATCGAACTTATCAATACTGTGCATTGTTCACATATGCATCTATGGTGCATGTGTGCCTTGTAAGAAATAGGGAGCAAGATATTTCAAGCCTTTAGTATTGACCATTCCTGAGAAATCATTGGTTTTTGTAGGAAACGAGAGGCTTCGTAACTACCGTTGACAATTTGTTGTTTTTATAATTGAGTAGATGTAATCTAGTCTTCTAGTACTTTAGATCAAGGGATACTTTTTAAGTGTAGTTCCTTTGATTAGTTTCATTTAAAGAATTTCATCGTCGTCACGGTTGATAAAACCTGTATTAGTGATCTATAAGAGGCTATGTGTACTCAAGTAAATTATATATACTTGTGAAAAGCGTTTCTAAAGGTTTGAACCCGCGTTACTTATTCCAGTAAACATTAGTTTTAGACTTTCCTCGTTGATCGATAGAGTTTGCATATCCTGGACGAAAAGGAAGGTAGAGGCCAGAGTTTGTCATTGATCTCATCTTACTAAAGGAAATCGCATCATCTGGGAAAAATTAAAGATTACAAACATATTCTCTTGGTATAAGAAATTGCTTTATTTCTGTACTGCATAGGTTTTTGCCGATGTTCCATGACACTAATTTTCGAGTTAGAGAATGATCTTCCATTGATTATTCATACCTTGAAACAAATCAGCGTGGGACTACACAAGATACTAGAGTGGAAAAAGGACTTAATCAGCTTGCCATGATGCCGTAGTACGGCATACTTGGAACGTACGTTGAGAAGGTTCCAAGACATACGATTTGTTCCAGGAGTTACATTACTCGTGTACAATGAGCTAATCTTGAAACAACTAGCTCTTGATTGTCTCTCTCGTGATGGTTTCGCAATAGAAAGCACACATCATAGTGTCCTGACCACACCTTGAATTGCTAGAAAACTCTCGAATCGGCTGTGCTTTGTATCTCCGTGACATGACGACTGCCCTACCCTGCCCCACCTTAACTCCCCCCAAATCACCTCCTCGCACGATAGCCCAAATGATCTAAATTAGGCATACCTCACATTCGTGATGGGCCCAGGTACAAAATAAGCTAAATGGGTTTCGTGACCTATTTATACCCAAAAGCAAGTCTTCGTTTTGATTCGCAGGGTAAAAGCTCAAGTAGCTTTTGATTGCCCAGGTCCTACACACAGATTGTTATTTAAGTCCGAATATTACAATAATCAGCAAAGCGACCAACCACATCATCGGAAAAGATATCCAGCAAAATCTAATGGGAACTGATCGACCCTTCTCGCGGATTCTTAGAGCTAAATGTCATCACCTCCGTTTTATTATTATTATTCTGATGCACGACGCAGCCGAAAAACTGCTGGACATGCGCAGTATTAAGTCTAATACCTCGCGCGTTTGACTCTCGCAACTCCGCTTAAAATAGTGGACGACAAATCAAAATCTAATGCGTCATAGCGGATGCTAAAGAGCCGTTGTCCTTGCAAAGAGGACTTTGCAATCGAGCCAACAGAATCTGTTTTGATTTCCCTATTCATCGGAGCTGTTAGTGAGTAGATCGGACTTATTCTTGTTTACTAAAACAGTTATGTTTATAGACAATTTCCAGGCCTTGTTTGACGTTCGTTGTTTTGAAGAAGAACCGTGTTTTGGGGGTTTCTTAGGGCGGTCGTTGACTCTTTAGGTCTTAGAAAAAGATATGTTCCAGGTAACTAATTTACGAAAAAACCGTCAAATATGACTTTGAAGCTGGACTTTCTTATAGTCCTTCAGAAATCTCTCTTCAAACAATGCAAGATGGTGGCCCTTAATACAGTGAGGCGACCCATATAAAAGCCTGGTTAAAGTGCCCTTGATTTGTTCGTATCACGATTACGAAATCAATGCACATACACTGAGATTAAGTGAATCATTCTTTTCTATTTTAGCTCATTATCTTCCACTCATTCTTAAAAAGGGAAAAAATTAATGCAAAAATTAATTAGCAAGAAATGAGATAAAAATTGCCACTCTTAACCTCGGTCTGGGACAAAAGACAAAAATTCTGAAATATAGTTACTTTTTAGACCTCTCTACATAATAGTTATAAATTCTTAAGTTCTAAGGCACCATTGCAAGCAAAATGCGATTTGTAAAGTCCTACCTCGCCGGAAAAAATGTAAAAATATCTTATTTCAAATAAGATACCGCGAGATTTTTCCAGATCGGCTGTATGGCGATCGATTTCATATATATGAAATTGAAGAACTTCAGCTAATCTTGTCTACGAAACTTGACACGTTTTCATAACTTATGATTGGAAGTTGGTTTCTTATATATATATGCGACGGATCAAAACGATCATTCCATCAAGTTATTATTGCGTGCTTTGTAAACGAAAAACGCCTGAAGTCATTTCATGACTTTCGATCACAATTAAATGCCATTAGTTTCCAAGCCCCTGGAAAATTACAGCGTAAAATTCAATGACATTCAGTACCTTCTATAATGATCTCAGTATGAACACTTTTGAATCTCTGAATAATTATAATTTAGCTAGATGTTCATTGCGGTTTATCACAAATTACACTTCTACAGATTAAAGTCTCAGTGAACTATGCCAGCATATAGATAAAATGAATTAGTATATACTAAAACAGTGGATAGCGTTGAAGGCGCGCTCTGATTGGCTAGTCAAACTCCGAATATCCTTTGCTATTTACCTCCGAGCAACTCGGGAAAAAATGGCGTCCCGGTTTGCATCCGTTTCAAGCGAAGAAATCTCTCAAATTAACGACGGTGGTGTATATTATCTCACTGTTTTAGTATATACTAAAACAACAATTCACCTCAGTGTCGGTGGTTAGCGGTGGATATTTACGTCGCCGCTTCGCGGCTCGGTAAATATCCACCACTAACCACTTCCACTTTGGTGAATAGTTGTTAATTAGTTGTAAATGATTTATCAAGCTTCAAGTCATTACTTTATGAAATTTTCGTTCAAATGGGTTCATAGAGGACAAGTTACTATTTCCAGAACATGAATCGAGAATACCATTTGTCGCCACTGGATTCTTTATCTTTGATCTGTTTTTCTGCCGCTTTAACATCTTTTACTTTGGATAGCATTCAGCTCAACGCGCTGTTTCCATCCTTTTTTGGCTTCATTCTTTTCGGTCTCAGTGAGTAGCTCCAGGTACTCGATTTGAGTCAGTGGGTTGGGTTTGAGGGCAATTTCATCCAGGCGTTGCAGGCTTTGCTGGACTTTGATTATCATTGTGAGGACGTTAGTATGCACATTCAAAAGAAACTTCTCTAGATTTCCAATCATACCTTCCACTTTGGTCTTCCCTGACTTAGCTGCTTCGTACTTCTTTTTGAGATCTTCGGAGGTTCTGGTCTCAGTGAGGTTTCGTACTCATAATTGTAAGGAAGATTCTTGTGTTCCTTCCAGACGCAATGCTGTGTGCACACTGTGCAGTAACCACGTCTGTCTATGGCACAACATTTACGTTTGTCGTTGTCATCTGCATATGCACAATTTTCGTGACACGTATAGTTGCAGCGAAGACATGTGGTAGTATGTCTTCCAGTCCCACTGAGGTCAATCCTTTTTGGCTTGGTAATGTTAACTTCGTACGTAAATTCTTTGTTCTGCTCGATCTCCGCTTCACGCTGTCTCAAGATGTTCTCTTCCTGTCGCATTTCTTCGATTTTGCCGAGACCCATTTTGATCTGTGGGTTCAGCCCTTCAATCATGTTTTGTACCTGTTCGGGTTCCCTTAGTACCTCTTGAGTGTGTTGGAGGCTGACACTTTGCGACTTTTCAAAACTAGAGAAGAATTTTTTGAAGGAACTAATCCCGATCTTCCAAAACATTGAGTCAAACTCGTCATCTTCATCTTCTTCGTCTCCATGTACGGTTTTTAGGTTCTTCTTAACATTATTTGCGAAAAGGGCTGAGTTGTTGAACTTATAAAACTTCTGAGCTGGGATTTTGGCATTTTTTATGGCTTCCATAACTGGGGGCTTTTGACCATCTGCAAACGTAACCAGCATAAAGATGTTTTTCGCCACATATTTTCCAAAAATGGACAGGACAGAATCGAAGATATACTCTTGTGTGGGGGTCAGGCCGGCCAGGGAAGCTTGAGTGACAAAACCAATGCCATCAAGGTGATCAATGCCATTTGGAGGAGGAATTGAAAAAAACTCTTTTATCTGGTTGGTGATTTCTTTGTCTCTCTTTACACCCTCTCTGTCTCCAAAGCCTGGTGTATCAATTATAGTGAACCTGTAAGGAACAGTGGAGCCTTTCATCGGGTGAAACGTGTAGGCAGTGATGTCCTTTGTCTGACTGTGAGCTTGTGAGGCCTTGCTATCTTCTACGACGAGTTTGTAACGGAAATTGTCTTCCCATTTTACACCCAGGATATAGTTGATCATGCCGTTGATAAGCGTTGTTTTTCCAGCTCCTGTTGCACCAACGACCATGAGCACTTTTTCAGTTCCTCGACCACCAAGATCAATGGGGCTGCCGACGCTCTTCTTAGTAATCTTACCCTTCTCTTGGCTCATTATCAATTCGGTTGGAAGCTTATAAACTGCGGGAGACCCGGTTGATATAATTTCTGATTTCTGTAACAAGCTATCAGCTAAGCGGAGTGTGTAATGTTCCTCATCCATCGTAGGTTTCTCGTTTTGACTCAAGGGTGGATCAATGGATGTCTTTTCTCTGCCTTCCTTCGTCAAATTGAGTGAGTGATTTTTGTCTTCCTTTGTAGGTTTCTCAACTTGACTCACAGGTAGATCAATCGATGCCTTTTCTTCGTCCTTCTGCGTTAAGTGGAATGGGTAATCTTCATTTTTCTTTGTAATTTTCTCATTTTCACTCCCAGGTGGATTAATCGATGTCTTTTCTTCGTCCTTCTTCGTTAAGTGGAGAGGGTGGTTTTCGTCTTTCTCCGTAATCTTCTCATTTTGACCTATACTTATATCAATCGATGTCTTTTTTTCACCTTTCATCTTTAACTGGGGCGGGAGATCCTCCTCTTCTTTTGTAACCGTCTTATTTTGATCTAACGGTGGATCAATCGATGTCTCTTCGATGTCGGTACTGCAAAATATGAAATTGACGTCCTCAGCTCGTGGATGGAGCATATTTTCGAGAACGGCATCAGTTTTCAAATGTAAAAGGAATATCAACAGAAAACTGAGTCAAAAATAAAACAACTGACAACCACCGCACCTTGATTGCATTGTTTTAGGGTTCTTCACATTGTTCTGACGTTTCCTATCTTGCCACCAACTTCCTATCAGCACTGCCACAATGGTAGCTATTCCCAAGGAGAATAAATGAAAAAGTATATCCAATATTTCCATTGTAATGATAGTGGCGATCCTGCAAAAAGTAGCAAGTCATTTTCAATTGCATGAAATAAAACCAAACTAAAAGGATATTCAATTTGCTGCAACATGGAAGAAGTTGATAAACCTACCAGCCTGGAAATATCGAAATGAAACCAATGGCATATTGCTAAATGATGGAAACATATTGACCACTTTCATAAATGGCTGCCGGATTAATATTCTTTTGTTTAAATTTCAATTTGCTCGAGTGGCCTCGCTTGAGATAATGTATTCTTTTGAATTTTGTACTGGAGAACGAGGCCACCCAGGCAAATTTATATGTAAACAAAAGAATTTTAATCCGGCAGCCGTTTATGAAAGTGGTGTATTGCAAGCCTATTTAAAAACTTGAGATGCTGAACAACTTGAGTGGCTCGACAACAAATGTCATGTATTGTCAGTCAACTCAAGGAGCTCGTCGAGGGCTATCCATCGTACATTTTTCGTTATTTGTAAACAAAACGAGTAACTTTTTGTAATAGTAAAACCGAAGTATGACGACCAAAATGAGATACATTTCACTTTTTTGTTCAACTGCACTTTTAGAAAAAAATACCTCGGTAAAAATCTTATCTGCCCTCTTTTCATGATAAGTGTAAAATTTTTTGATAAGAAATAATTGCGCTCTAAATGAACCCTTTGAGTAAATTGCACAAAGCTCAAAACTGATCTTCTGACGATAAAATGACTAAATTAGTGCGCGAAAATATAAAATGCATCAGGAACCGTTTTGAACCTATTTACTTAACTTGGGTCGCGGAAATTAACATATAGGTTCACCGGATGTTAACAAAAGTCTCACCCGCCGGCTGTGGACTACCATTCTTTTCTAATTTACACAGTGTTATTAATTATTTCAGACATGTCTTCTGTGGCACTATGAAGGTAAACGACCGACCTCACTTCATTACTCTGTCATGAATAATTTGCCGAGACGATAAACCTTAATTTCCCACTCTGTTTAACTCCGACTAAACGGCATAATGAGGGGGGCATTGGGGCCTATCAGAAACCGCAAAACCGTAGACTGAAAAGATCATCTAAAACCGAAAAACCGAAACAAAATTGACCAAAACCGAAAACTGCCGGCATGGAAAATTGTCAAAACCGATACATTTTCACATCCCAGTTACTAAAACCCTGCTCGATCCGTTACAGTGGTGATAAGTGGAGCATACAGCGTAAACTACACTTATCGTTTCATTACAGTATTTGTGAATCCCGTGGACCTGGCATTCGTATCTTCTAGTATCTGCTTGAATTATGGGCTTTATTTCTGCTGTTCTCTCGAGGACCTCGAGCGCGGTCTCTGCGAACTCAGTAGCTGGTAATGGCCGACTATTCGAGATGAGTGGAGGCGCGTAATTGCCTCTCAGATCGAAGAGACACCGAAACCCGCACAGTTCGATAGATAGATAGCTTTATCAGGAAGTAAAATCATTGCAGCCCCTGGGCCGGCTGAAATACCACTTACGTTCAAATGAGAAGAACCGAAAACCGCATCGGGTATCAAATCCGAAAACCCGTTGGTATTTTTTGCGAAAACCGAAAACCAAATGCTAAAAAAAAGGAAAATCCGCAAACCGTAATGAACACCAATTCCGAAAGACCGAAGTTTTTTAGCCCAACAACCGAAAAACCGATCTAAAAAAATAGCCAAAACTTTAGGCCGCAAAACCAAAAATCCCAGTGCCCCCCTCCATAATAAGCGTGAGAAGTTTATGAGCAATGTAAGCAGCTGGCATCCTCAGTATTTCTAGGAGCACCCTCGTGCTTCGTGTTTCTGCTATACATTACATGGTAACGGAAGACAGAACGAAAGTCTCTCTTATGACTCTGCGAGGTCCTAAGCACTTTGATATTTTACTATCTCTTCTCTCTCTGATGTAAGGATGTTTTGTGTCTTTGAGATCGCGAAGGCAAGAAACAACTCTTTCAGGTAACACGAATTCACGACAATAGTCGTTTCTAACTGAAATGACGTAAAGACAGCTTAAAAAGGACGAAACTGACAGACGAAGATGTCTGGAACATCAAAAGTTCGTATCCTATTTCATAAAAACGGGCGACACGCTTCCTGCTGATTTCTACCGGAAGTTGCAGGTTGGCTTGAATGATTTCCGAGAATACCTTTTCCGCATATCATCGATTGACCGATCTTGTTGCCTATTGCATAAATTCTTACCAGACCCAAAGTTCATTCAATCTATTTGCCGATGATTTAAAATCAATGGCAGATACTTCTACTCATAACTTCTAAACTATCGACTTTCTTTGAGTCAGCAATAAAATCAATGCGTCGCGTCGAGGAATGTTAAACAAACTCAAGCTTTCTGTCTTAATTCGAAGTCTCATGAATTCTTCCAATACGGAGTTGGAGAGTTCCATGACCCTTGAAAGACGGTTTGGCAGTAGTTCTTGATTTTCAGTGTGAAATTCAGAACATTCGCGAACGAGCAACCTATTTCGTTAATTATTAAGCCTGTAGGTCGCATTTCCCGCATGGAAGACAAATGCAATAACACTGTGCACGTGACTCATCTAGAATGTCTACGCCCCCTTTATAACCTGTAGTTTCTGTATGCGTAACACTGGCGGCATAGTATACATTATTGAACATTTCTCGCAAGTCCACACTGCCTACCTGATGTCGATATTTCCTCAAGTGAGAGATAAATTTCTTGGCTCAGCAGAACACGGAAAATCCTGTCTCCTGTTCACTTGTTTTTGCACGGAACTGATGAAGACATGCCGTCAGTAGACTTTGATATCTTATAATAACGTCAGATCCGTAACTAACGTTTCTGATTGGTTCCCAATTGAGTATCTTTTCACCTGATCCAATGGCATATAGCCTAATTTTACATCACGAGCAGAGCACGTGAAAGTAACTCGACCTCCCCCACCAGACCACTCCTTACCTCGTTTCCAGAAGGGCATTGGCGCATGACACGGTATTCAGGCTCAAGTCCCCTACTGCTGAAGAACTCAAAACATTGAATGACTTCGTAATCTACAAAACTGCCCAAAAGGGTCAGGAGACTGAAATTCACACTAAGTAACAATTTCCTCAAATGTGATTCCGTTTCCAAGAAAGAATTTCCCTGCATACTTAAGTGTCTTGTGATATATCCCAAGGTATAGTTGTCTCAAGTTCTTTCAAAGTACAACTTGATGAGATTTTCCGACTTTTGGTTTTAGACTTTTTGTCACGAATCAATTTAGCGGAATGCAACTGGCTCGTTAGCTTAGTTCTTTTCCAAACAGTCCTATTAGGATTTCCTTTTCTTCAATTTTCTGAGTATTTGGCCCCTGATGTGTCGAGGACCGAACCCACGATAGGGTGGGGTTGAGGAGGGTAGAAAAAAGTCTTAAGGACCGGTTATTATTCACCTAAGAAGAGGGGGTCAGAGGGTTTTGGTGGGATTACAATAGAATCTATCCCCCCCCCCCTCAAAAAAAGGCTCTTTAATATCTCAATAGACAGTTTATCTAAAGTCCCCCTGTATACTCTGTTAGCGACAAATGACCCCCTCAGTTCCCCATGAAAACCATGTGATCCCCCAGAAATCCTCTGACACCACCCCCCTCCCCTATAACGATAAGTTATGACTGTTTCCTCAGCGACATTAACTGTCGATTAAAAGTAACCTCAAGGAGGATTATAATTGGCCAGACTTTACTGGTCTGTATCATTGGCCTGAATCAAAGTAAAAAATAAGACGTGGAGGAAAGCAGTCATTGTAGGGACTATCTTTTGCTGAGTGCATTACGATCTGCGAGACTTTCCTAAAACGCTAACGGCATTCAAAAAAGTTAGGGGGCCATTTGAAGTATTACTCTTGGCCCCAAATATTCTCACCCACTCCACCCACACTACTATCCGTTCTCCTGTCGTCACTTCCGCTTTATCATTCTGATGCACGCAATTCCACAACGCATGCGCTTGATTTTGTTATGAACCTGAGAAATTCAACATGGCAGGGGACGGCGACCGCGAGATGGTCCTCGCAAACTTTCAAGTAAATCGCTAATTTTGCCTTGTTTTCTTTTTTACGTTTCCCTAAATACGTGTTTTTTTTACATTTTCTCAACAGAGTATAACGGGAATCGAGAATTTAGACGAATGTATTACACTCCTGGACCATCACAACTGGGACTTGACGGTTCGTAATTATTTCCCTCGGATTTTTTTTGTCATGTCCGTTATCTCTTGTTTTATCGGCTCTTATTGGTCTGTTCTATCGTATGATGATTTTAGGCTTGTGTGAATTCAGTCCTAGCAGACGAGACGGATTCTCCTTTACGGTTTGTATGGTTCACATGCTTTGTATCAGTCATGTCTTATATAATAATAAAAAAGTAAGCTTATTACATGATGTGGTTTGAAGATAGATGTTTCCCGAGCTGGAGTAGGACGCGATCATAGCTTTTCCCAGAATGATCTTTCATGACGGCATTCGTTATCCCTTTTCTAGATATTAGATTTTCTATTTTCGTGTTACTCGTGTTCGACGAAATCGCTAATCGCGTGATTCGTCGAAAGGTTAATAAAAGATAATTTGCATGTAGACAATGTTACATGAATCGATTATTTAAATGAAAAAGTTAATTATTACCGTGACTTGTCACAAAACACCGATTATGTAGGGAGTTTTGTAAGACTGCAGAGGAATTGAAATGTTCTTGAATTATCCCTTTAATTTGCAAATTTCAAACGTTGCTGAAAAAGTATCTGAAGAAAACTCCCCACCGACTGTCAATAATTGTTTGTCTCATATTTACCATTCCCTATAATGGGGATATAATTGATAAATAATCTCAGGGCATGTGGCCTCTTTTGTTGACCATGAGAATATCCATTTCAAATGATAATAGTCTTAAACAATTCATACATTAAACTCACTCAGGTTGAGGTTATTTTCAAAGAATACAGAAAAGTTATCTTGATCCTAGACTTACAAATCTCTCCAGAATGAAGGATTTTCATGATACATATATCTTATTACACGTTTTGTTGCGTAGTATCACTGAGTATTTTTACGAGTTGTGCTGTATTTTGACAAGTAACCAAAAGTGAATTTTCATAAGATTATTGTTACATGCCTGATGGTAGCGAAACACATGATGTGCAATATAGAGAAAATTAGATGTCATGTCAATGTCTCTTTTTTTCCATTTTGATTCACCCTCACTATACAGATACATGTAGTTCTGAAATGGAAAATGGTAAAATGACTAGAATTGCTGTCAAAACTTCATACAATGTCTCGAAGTTCATTCTCATCATCGTGTGATAGGCTTTGAACGGTATTTTCAACTCACAACTTCTTGACTTAAATTACAAATGCCACCAAAATTTCCAACCTCGGCGCGCACATATTTGTTTATGATTATGCGATTAACTATCATGAACCATTTGACTGTAAACATGATAGTCCATGATAGTAAATGAAAGTTGAAACTATCATTAACTGTCAGCAACTATCATGACTATTTGAATCACGTCTTCTGAATCACAATGGTATTTGCATTAAGTTTGTGAAACTGATGTTTTCATGTAAGCTCTTCCCTGGAATACTTTATCCCCAAAAGGCTAAGACGAGCTCCTGACAAAGGTCTTATGGTAAGGCAGCAACTTTCCAAATGCTTTTTTCTTGAAAAGTCAGTTTTCTACATTCCACAATGGATGGCATAGCCTTAGCAGTGACGTCTAGCTGATAACTGATAACCATTTTTTTTTTAATTCCTGTCATATCAACAATCTTGAGGCACTCATAATTTTTTTTTATATTCTTCTGTATCATTTAGGATGCCAGAGGCTCCTGTACCTGATGCATATTGGGTTGCAGATCAGTCAACAGCTGGTACTAGCACATCCTCAGTTTCTGTCAGGGGGGTTGTTGGAAATGCAATCCCTTTACAGCCATCCTCAAGAAGAATAAAGTTTTTGATTGAATGGAGAGATAGGACCATCCCAATTGTTCTAACTGAGACTGAAACTATAGGTAGTGTTAATGTCACTGTTAAAGTTTTAAACCCTACAGCTTCAATGAGCGACCAAAACAGAATTTCTCCTTTCGATATTAATACAATATCAAGCACAGACAAGTGATGAGAATTTAAGAAAAAGATCAGACACGTAAGGAATTACTGGTTGCTCAAATGCCAAATTCCTCAAACTTAGGAAAGAAATTTATTGTAAACGGTAAGGAGAGTTACTAATAGTATCTTGGGAGTGAAGATTTTACCCACCAACTCCAAGAGGCAACCAGCATGTAACATCACCTTACAAGATTCCTTGGAGCCAGAAATGGGAATTATTGAATCTGATTTTGGAATAAGCCCCGTAACTCCTTTATGTGATTAACATGTAACTTCTCCCAATCCAGCAATCCAGCAAACAAGTAATGAGAATACTCAAAGTTATCAGGTGAAACTTGTTATCTTGATCTAACACCAAATTCTTGTAACTAATTTACAAGGAAATGTGTAGCAGCTAGAGGGGAGAATTAACAATCTGATCTTGGGAGTCAAAGGGCTAAGGTTTAATCTAAAGNTTCCGCTACATTTTTACAAGTGACTTTTATATACCATTTTACACGTTTTTACAATTCTTGTATTCGTTTTATAGTAGTTTTTAGTGCGTCGAACGTGACTACGAGATGTTATGTCTAGCAAACTGACTCAATTATCAAACACGTTCCTGGCCTCGGCCCACAAAATTTCATCACAATCCTGAGTTTCTTTTCCTAACTAACAAGAGTAAAGGAAAAGTTTTTATTGTAAATTTTTTTTTTGTGGTCATTCTGTATGTGCCTGAAATTTTAATTCTCAGTTCAGAAGTGATGACTTAGAGCCAATTATTTTCCTGTGTGGCCCTCCCAGTCAGTCAATAAGTACAGCTGTAAATGTACATTATGTTAATACTTAATTTATACATCAAGTATATAAATTATTACCTAGAACTCATACTCATAACTGGGCATGCTCATGAACTCATGCTCATAACTGTTTTTGATTGGTTCTGTAGTTATACAATGTAAGTATCAATTTTTTTTTTACTTGTAACAGTTAAATTATGTTAAGTAATGATTTTTTGTTTTAGGTGAAGACTGATATTCTCTCGCTGTCTGGTGTTCCCTGTAGACATCAATGTTGGTCAGGCTGGCCTGGTGGGGTTACTGATGAAGTATGTATACCTAATTTATTCCCTCGCATCAGTATGCATAATTATTCTCCATACTGTTCTCTATACTGTTCCCTAAGGTGCTGACAAGGAGAATTTGTTTAAGGATCAAGAACTTCTTTAGTTGGTGATCATTTCCCTCAATCTCGCAACCTTAATGTGTGTTTGAGGGGTAGATGCTAGTCACTCTTAAGGATAAAGGGGTTAATTAGCATTGCGTGGTATCAGTCCTTGACTCTTGTTGACCCTGCAGATGGTCTTATCACTAAATTGTTATCAGAGGTTGATTCAATTTAATGGCTTTTCTTAAAGGTTCTTGTGTGTCTGATCATATTGGCTTGTGAAACTGTATGATGCAGAGGTTGATAACCCTGTTATTTTTCTCCTGTGAAGTCACCTGCTTTAAATTTTGAATCTAATCAGTTGAAAAGATTGTGTAAGTTTTCAGGACCCAAACCTTAATTTGTCACTCAGTTGAAAATTGCACTATAGTGACCTTGTGTTTGTGTCATAACCACTAAAATTTCTTGATTAATATATTCATTTCAGATGACGCTTGCAGAAGCAAATCTTTCATTTCCTGTGCATAGCTTAAGAATGATTAATGAAAGGGAGGCTGGTCCCTCCAAAGACAAAGAGGTAATCACAATTTTTGAAGTTTGTTAACCTTTTACTCCCAATATCTAATCCGGAACTCTCCATACTTTCTGCCATACAATTCTGATGTTACAGTGTAAAAGGCTTGCCCAGTGATAAACCTAAATACATGTAGTGTGTTCTTACTCAAAGTGGAAGCACGGTAGCGTGATGGTTAGTGCGCTCAACTCTGGATTGGGTGGTCTGGGTTCGAGCCCTGGCTGGTGATGTTGTGTTCTTAGGCAAGTCACTTTACTCTCTCAGTGCCTCTCTTGACCTGGGTGTTTAATTGGGTACCGGTGAACTTAATGCTGGGTGGGAGGGGGGGGTAACCCTGCTGTGGACCAGCATCCCATCCAGGGGGAGTAGAAATACTCCCAGTTGCTTCATGCTACCAAAACCGTAGATATATTGCACTGGCCACCCAATGGCCCACTTGCCTTGTATACAGACTTTATCTTTTCTTACTCATGCAGATAAGGGTAAATCTGTCAAAGAAATAATGAAATAATTGTTTTCTTTAGACTAGAAAACCCAAGGAAAGGCATGCAGATATTGATATGGATGGGAATGATAGTAGTGACAACGAGGATCCTTCGTTCCATGTTGATGATGACGAAATGTTCTGTGATATTCCAACAGCTAGGAGACAAATAAGTGAGATGTGTAAGTAAACAGTGTTCAAGTAGTTGTTCCTTTTCCTAAACACTAGAATTTGACCAACGGATGTAAGGTTGAAAACATAATTATTTGAATGATAACAATAACCTTATTTATGTGTCAATGAGATTTAGCATTGCTGCTAATTGGGGAAACCTAAAAAGAGTTACAATTGTCAGGACTATGTAAAAATTAAATTTTTAAACACTAATTATTTGCAAGATAAAAGCCTATCTATCAAAATTAAAAATACAAAAGTAAATATTATAGTTATAACTAGGGTTTGTCTCCAGTGTTTCACGATGGGGACTTTTTTTTTCCTTTGACTATGCTGGTCTTATTTTAACATAACTCTTCAATCCCTGAGCGTGACTAGCATCTAATTTTTCCTTTCAATATCACCTCCAAATAAAACATTAAGGTCACAGGATTAAAGAAAATGATCACCAACTAGAGAGGCTCTTGATTGTTAGACAAATTCTCCTTGCCAGCACTTAAGGAAATGTATATAGAGAATATGTATGCCTATGTTAGGGTGTAGGGGCTAAGGTGTCTTGTTAGATGATTAATCACTTTGCTATAATCTTTTTTAAAGTGGATGAGAACTGTGCAGACACTGCTGAAAATTTAGTCAAGTTTACCACTCAGTTTGAGGAAAGGTAAGAGTTTCTAACTTGTCAGTAATATGTTACTGTATAATTTGACGTAAATCAAATATATACTTACTCAGAGTTGACCTGTCACATAGCACTGACTCAGAGTATTTCATGTACAAAATATCTTTTATCTGATGTCTAAGGAGGTTTAAGAGGTAACTATTCAGACAACTTGCAAAGAAAAAAGTTTTTTCCAAGTTGAAAAAAGTTGTTACAGTACTTTAATCTCACTATTACCAATAATATTGCTCCCTCA